AGCTAGGCTCAGACGCAATCGCCAATCCCGCGTCATGCACAATCATAGACTGCACGACAAGGCTTTGGGCAGCTTTCGACCTATTGAGATTGCATTGGAGGACGACGTTGGCCATTAGTTGCTTTTGGCGAATTCTTTGTCCCCCTCCACGGACTCCGCCCATGAGAAGGTCTCTCCCTGCGTACCAGGGAGAGGCCAGTCTTTATTGTCCTCGTTCTCGGCCACGTCCGGATGTTGTTGGGCACCAGCGGAAAGCGTGCCATCCAAGGTGTTAAAGGAACACTCAGGAGCAGCCGACGGGGGCGGCAATTGCTCCTCCATGTCAACGTCGATACACTCGTGTCTAGTCTCAGAGGTAGCAGCGCAAGAGGACGCATTCCCCACCTCCGAGAGAACTGCGTCAGACTTCTCCAAGGCCCGTGAAGCCGTCACGAGGACCGACTCCGCTGAAGGTTTTTCCTTTCTGTCCTTTTTTTGTTGACTCAGGGAAGTTTTCTTTTCCTGAGTGTCTACTTCCTTATTCTTCTTCTGTCCTTTCGTCCTGTCCGGTGTGTTGATTGCCTTCTTCGCTTTCACTCCCCCCGCGGGAGGATTCTTTTGTAGGCAAGCCACTCCACCCAGCCGATAACTCGAGGGGAGGCCAGCCAAGTCGCAGATTATGCAGTTGGGTGATTGGGAGCACTCCTTCGCCTTGTGGCCTATAGTCCCGCAGCGATAGCACGTTCCGCTTCTATCGACCGAACTTTTGCATTCATTCTGTATGTGACCGAACTGCAAGCATCTATAGCATTGCAGTCCACGGTCAGGCAGCAGCGTGATGTTCGCCATTGTCCATCCTATCTGGATCCGCTTTAGGTCTGCTAATTGATTCGCACACGCGATCGGGCATTTGATCCATAGGGATCCTAGTCCATTCCTTGCTTTGGTAATACTGCCCGTCTTAATTTCTGTTATGCAGCAGTTGGTAGCCTTAGCGATAGCTTCAGATACTTCCGCGGGTGAAGCCGAATCATCTAAGTTGGAGACACGAACTTCGGCTGTTCTTGTCGGCCTTGAGATGAGGGGAACCTTTTTTTTTTTTTTTTTTTTTTT